AGAGATAGGTAATTCATATGTATCCATACTTAGTTACTCAAAAAAGAGATAGGTAATTGATATTAATGATCATTGTAGATACTCTTGTTAGATGAAACATCCTTCAGGGGGCGTGTAAGCATATTTTTCATGTATTTTTTGTTGGGCTCTGAAGAAATTCTTCATTTTTTAAATACGTTTGATCCAGCTGAGTAGAATCTATAGTGGTATTCTTGTTTCATCTGATATATGTTTCTAAGCTTGTTTTGGAAGTGACATCAACCACTTAGTAGCATCACCATTTACCTACGCATCTCAGGTTCAAGTTAGTCTAAAGGCTACTTGTAAAAGACACCGAGAGTATAAAGGTGCAACATGTATAACAGTTTACTTTGGGGCAAATTATATATGCCCGATTAATGAAGAAAGCTCTTATGATGTTGCGTTACTGCTATGTATTCTATCAAGCCCCCACCAAAACCAAAAGAACAGACTGTCAAAAGTAGTGAATTCAGGCATTCAAGACTAGTAAACAACGCTTGGCTTACAGTCTCTACTTCTATTTTTCAGGTACCTCAAATACCTTGTCAAGAAGTACTTGAAGAAAAATAATGTCAGGGATTGGCTAAGGGTGATTGCTTCCAACAAGGACAGGAATGTTTATGAGTTGCGCTACTTCAACATTGCTGAGAATGAAGCAGATGAAGAAGATTAAACATGGCCATTCAACGGCCCTTTATCTCCTTCTTGAGTCAACCTTCTTATTTAGAACCTTATATCATATGTTTGAGTTATCAATGAGTCTAATATTCTCACTTCTAGATTATTGATTTTTTGTGCCCTTATCAGTAAAAGAAAACATTACTTTGATACTTTGGTTTGTTTATCTTTGGGGTCAACTTTGCGCAAGTCATTAATTTATCTGTATGGCGTTTTCTCCTCTTGATGATCACATGTAATTTATTGAGTTCATTTGTTGTCTGCGTCTTTTGTTTAATCACCCCATGATTGTTGACTTCCTCTTGAGTTTGTCTTAAAACGATAGAAGTGTGATGAGAATTTACAGAAAAGATCGATTGGGTGTGTGGGAGCAGATCAGCAGAATGGTATATTTCCAGGATTAGGATTCGTATATGTATTTATCAGATCTTCATTTCACATCTTTCATTTTCGACCTGCGTACCAAAGACTTTCGAGACTTGCAAGTTACACCTCCCTAATATCAGACCTAGGAAGGAAAGCTAAAAGTTTTCATACACATTGACAAGAATGTTTATGAATTTTTTGTGTTTGGTATCCATATTGAAGCTTGATTAAATTTGTGTTCGCATTGGAAAGTCCCACACCGTACTCAAAGAACTTGAAAGTGCTTCCTAACAAAGACGATTTCGTATCAAGGAATTTGAACCCAAAACCTCTGGTTTAGGATGAAAAAATATTACCACTCCATCATATCCTTATTATTATGAATTGCGCTACTTCATCATTGTTTTCAACAATGACTACGCATTTTAAGAGCAGAAGTTATGCGAGACATAACTTGTGATATAGTAGAAGTACTCGATATAGTATATAGTAGTACAAAAATGATTCATTCTTATTTTATTATGATGCAAAAATATAAACTTATGCCTAATAAAAAAAAATTTATTACAAGGGAGAAAAGTTAAGAACCTAGCCTAAATAGGGCCAAAAGTGCAAATTAGAGCGAGGTGCCACATATAGGAAGTAGGAACAAAGGAAAACCCTAATTTATCAGAGTCATCACTTCCATACACTCACAGTAGACCGTCGAGTTTCTTCCTGTACGTATGCTCCAACTTTTTCTTCTCTGTTTCTCTAACGATGAACTTTTGTTCTTGAGATCTGATGATTTTTGCTTTGTTTTCGTTATTTGAATGACAGTAAAGAGAAATACAGAGCGTAAAGATGAGCCGAGCAGCAGCAGCAGCAGTGAAGGGCGGTAAGAAGAAGGGTGCAAGCTTCGTCATTGACTGTTCGAAGCCAGTAGAAGACAGTATCATGGAGATTGCTTCTCTTGACAAGTTCCTTCAAGAGAGGATTAAGGTTGGTGGAAAAGCTGGTGCTCTTGGGGATTCCGTTACTATCACTCGTGACAAGAACAAGATCACCGTCACCTGCAACTCGACTTTTTCCAAGAGGTACTAATTCTATTGCCTCATTTTCAGTTGTTTTTATTTGAAAAAAAATGGTTCTAAAAGCTAAACTACTTGTAGATCCCAAATTACTAGCTGCGGTCGACTTCCATTGTAGTTTGATTATGTTTACACTTACAGATTGACAGTAACTTATCGTAAACCTATTCGTTTATTCGGGGATTGAGGGAGTTCTTTTATTTGGAATAATGTAGTCATTCACACATTGAGGTTTAAGTCAGTTCATAATCAATTAAAAAGAGGTTCTTTTTGCTGTTTATTTTTGTATTAAGAGTTCCCCAGACTTCAAGTGTAGTTCCACTCTGAATTCTACTGTTTATTTATCCGAAAACATTTGCCAATTTACATTGAGAAATAAGGAGAAACAGAATAACTAAAATGGCAGTGTAGTATCTTGTATGTAATCGTTGTTAACTTAAGCAGGGTGTTCTATTGATCCTTGAAGCTGTTTCTAAATTTATGGAACAGATAGTCTAAACGACTATGTATGGGTCCCAAATTAGAAGGCGGGGTTGGCTTTTATTGGAGTTTTGATTATTTTCACAACTGACAGACTGATAGTAACTTATCATAGCCTTTTTTAGTTTGGCTCGTCTCTGCTTTACAAAGATTTCTTATTTGGAAGTTCAACAGCAACAACAACATACCCCATGTAATCCCACAAGTGGGGTCTGGGGAGGGCAGAGACTCTACACTATCCGTGGAGTGTATGTAAGCATACCTTCTTTGGATAGCGCAGTCATTCATAAATTGAGCCTCTGGAGTCAGATTGCTAATGGTTTTAAAAGGAAATCGTTTTAACTGTTTATTTTAGTTAAGAGTTCCCTGCACTGCAAGCCTAAAAAAAACTTTCCCGTCTATTCAGGATTTTCATACTGAAGATGATGAGTTTATGTCATTCTATTGTTTGTTTATCTAATGCATTATCCTATTTACATTGAGAAATAAGGAGAAACAGAATAACTAAAATGGCAGTGTAGTATCTTGTATGTAATCGTTGTTAACTTAAGCAGGGTGTTCTATTGATCCTTGAAGCTGTTTCTAAATTTATGGAACAGATAGTCTAAACGACTATGTATGGGTCCCAAATTAGAAGGCGGGGTTGGCTTTTTATTGGAGTTTTGATTATTTTCACAACTGACAGACTGATAGTAACTTATCATAGCCTTTTTAGTTTGGCTCGTCTCTGCTTTACAAAGATTTCTTATTTGGAAGTTCAACAGCAACAACAACATACCCCATGTAATCCCACAAGTGGGGTCTGGGGAGGGTAGAGACTCTACACTATCCGTGGAGTGTATGTAAGCATACCTTCTTTGGATAGTGCAGTCATTCATAAATTGAGCCTCTGGAGTCAGATTGCTAATGGTTTTAAAAGGAAATCGTTTTAACTGTTTATTTTAGTTAAGAGTTCCCTGCACTGCAAGTCTAAAAAAAACTTTCCCGTCTATTCAGGATTTTCATACTGAAGATGATGAGTTTATGTCATTCTATTGTTTGTTTATCTAATGCATTATCCTATTTACATTGAGAAACAAAAATAAAAATAGAACGGAAAATGGTGGCATAACATCTTGGTGTTCTTGTTTCATCTATTTTATGTTTCTAAGCTTGTTTTGGAAGTGACATCAACCCCTTATTAGCTTCACCATTCACCTACACATTAGACTCAAGTGATTTTCTAAAGGCTACTTGTAAAAGAAACTGATAGTCTAAAAGAGAGGCGAATGTGCAACATAATGTCAATTTACTTTGGGGCAGATTATGTATGCCCGATTAATGAAAGTAGTTCTTGTGATGTTAAGTTATTGCTATGCATTCTACTCCTACCCCTCCAAAACCAAAAGAACAGTGTTAAAAGTAGTGAAATCAGGCACTCGAGACTCGTAAATAACAGCTTGACTTACAATCTTTACTTCTATTTTTCAGGTATCTCAAGTACCTTGTCAAAAAGTACTTGAAGAAAAATAACGTCAGGGATTGGCTTAGGGTGATTGCCTCCAACAAGGACAGGAATGTTTACGAATTGCGCTACTTCAACATTGCTGAGAATGAAGCAGATGAAGAAGATTAAACATGGCCATTCAATGTCTCTCTTTATCTTTTTCTTTAGTCGGCCTTCGTTTTTTGATCCTTATATCATCTGTTCGAGTTACTAATGAATCTTGTCTTCTCATTTCTAGATTATTGTTTTGCAGTTTGCTTATCAGTAAAAGAAAACATTACATCGATACTTTGGTTTGTTTATCTTTGGGGTTAATTACGCAAAAGTCAATTTATCTGTATTGCCTTTCTCCTCTTGATGACATGTTATTTAAATAGTGTGCATGGGAGCTAAACAGCCAAGTGAAAGTTTAGTAAGGAGAAATAAGAAAGGGGATTATAAGGTAGTAACTCTCGGTTGGTTGGTTATCTGAATTTTCACTTTGTTGGTTCGATTCTACGCCTTGTAATTTTCCCTCCCATTTAAAATACTTAAAAGGAAATAGTTATATCTGAAGACATAAGTAAGATTAAAATAGATAAAATATCTCATAATTAATGCTTTTTATGTGGCACATAAATGAAAACACGATAAATAATTTGAAGTGGAGAGAGTTTTACACTTGCTAGGAAGAATTATATGTTATTGTATACCAGAAAATGTATACTGTCGATACACATTTTTTTGTTTGTTTTGAAATGTGGGTAGGGGAAGGGGAAACAAGGTGAGAATCAAACCTTCACTAACAGGGTGAAAGTTCGTAGTTAATCAATTGAGCTACTAAGATTTTCGTGATACTTTACATAGCTGACCTACTAAGATTCTTAAGATTCTCGCGATGCACAACATCAAGCTGACGTTTGACCATGCAGATTCAAATATAGCTTTAAGTACTCGAATTTTTAAATTTCAACTTCAAAATCCATGGCCGGAAGCTAAACTTTGTGCTTTGAGCATTGAAACCACTGCTTAACATCCAAATGAAGATATCAACCAGAAAGCTCATATCTTTAACGCACCCTTCTCTCAATCTTTGGCATCCAACTGTCGATTGTTTCACTTGGAATACTCTCATCAGAGCCTATGTTCAACGAACTCATCAACCTTCAAGCCCCATCCATACCCCACTCTCCATCTTCCTCCGAATGCGCTTCCATGGCGTCCATATTGATTACTACACCTTCCCTTTTCTCCTCCAGTCAGTCCATTCTCCACCACACCTCCAATTGGGACGATCCATTCACTCACAGGTTCTTGTTTTTGGTTTTTCATCCGACCCGTTTGTCCAAACTTCGTTGATCAGTATGTACACTGCTTGTGGCGATGTGGGGTCTGCACGAGATGTGTTTGATGAAATGTCTCAACCGGATTTGCCTGCGTGGAATTCTATTGTTAATGCGAACGTGAAAGCGGGTTTGCTTAGTGTTGCGCGTGAACTGTTTGTTAAAATGCCAAGCAGAAATGTTGTATCTTGGAGTAGTATGTTGGATGGTTATGTGAGGTGGGGTAAGTGTGAAGAAGCATTGGAGTTGTTTAATGAGATGATAAAAGAAAATGAGGTTATGCCTAATGAGTATACCATGGCTATTTTGCTTGCGGCGTGTGAGCAGTTGGGTTCACTTGAACATGGGAAATGGGCTCATGCTTGTGTTTACAAACTCGGGATGGAGATTAATGTTGTTCTTGGGACTTCGTTGATTGAAATGTACGCTAAATGTGGGAGTATAGTCCGGGCAAGATTAGTTTTTGAAAATTTGGGTCCAAAGAAGGATGTAATGGCTTGGAGTGCCATGATCTCAGGTCTTGCTATGCATGGACACTGGGAAGATTGTCTCTGTTTGTTTTCAAATATGGTTGACAGCGGAGTAATGCCTGATGATATCACGTTCTTAGGTGTTCTTTCTGCTTGTGTACATGGAGGATTGGTGAGCCAAGGGAAGGAAATGTTTGAGAGGATGAGTAAAGAGTTTGGTATTTCGCCTTCAGTTCAGCATTATGGTTGTATGATTGACCTTTATGGCAAGGCTGGTTTGATTGATGAAGCGTGGAATCTTCTGAATACAATGCCTATGGAGCCAGATGTGCTTATTTGGGGAGCTCTTCTTAGTGGAGCCAGGATATGTGGAGATATTGAAACATGTGAGATTGCACTCAACAAAATAATAGAGCAAGATCCCACAAATAGTGCAGCTTATGTTCTTCTCTCCAATGTCTACGCTAAGATGGGTCGGTGGAAAGATGCTAGGGACATCAGAAACGTTATGGAGACAAATAAGGTACAGAAAGTTCCTGGGCGTAGTTCCATAGAGGTCAATTCAAATATCCAGTAGAACTAGTTTACGTTGAAATGAGTATCAGGCAGGCACTAGTAAATCATGTGATGCTCAAGGATACTCTGCGCGGGTTCAAGATGGACGGTTTTATGCAGACATTACACAAGGTACTGCTAAATTTGAATGAGGAATGAAAGAATTTAGCAGTTTTCACTTCATTATAAGAACATGGCAATTTGAATTCTCCGTGCTAATACTGTAACATGGTTTGGATATGCCCAGTAAAAACGTCAGGCATGCACCGTGCAGGTGGTGGTAATGTTGCAGTATAAATTACCTCAAGGACTGCTTGTGGAGTTGTGGTCGAGATTGTTGTGACACATCGGAAGAATCTTCTTGTAGTGAGTGGTGGTAACTGACCTTGTCACTGAATTTTGATTGGGAATCTCTTCCTTTTAGGCTCAGAAGCTTACAAACTCATCTGACCTGGTAATATCAAAGTCCCCTCCCAGCGGAATTAAGATTCATTTGTTTTGCTTGGTAATATCGAATCTTGAAATAGCTAATTTGTTTATTGTAGTATTATGAATCAATGAATATGTGCTCCAATTCGTTTCACAACAAAAGGAAGAAGCTAGTTGCGGAAGCAACTTGTAAGTCAAGTTTGCAAAAGTAGAGCCGAGACACCATGATTTGCCTACCAAAAAAGAGACTCCTCATACATCATCCATCAATCACTTGGTGGTTGCTAAATTTCTAGTTTGTGTTTGGTGAACATGTCATTTGATATTTGGGAATAGGTGAGTTGTGAGACATCAGATTGTAGATTTTGAACTTCACAATACTTTATAAATAGCATACCTTCTTTATTTAATTACCAAAGAATAAATCTCTGCTACCCTCTTTACATTCCTGGTTCACTTCATTATGTGTCCATTGTTAATGTAGTACTGTTTTCTGTGGTTCATCGTCATAAATTGATTAGTTTTATGCTGGTTGACGGGTTGTCAACCCATTGCAACCCTCTTCCTTATCAGGCCTGAGATCAGCTACGCGAGCAAGCTCACTTGGGCAGAATTGAGGCCTGAGATCATCTACTAGTCTCACTTATTATGAACGATTATATGTAATTATCTTTTACGTGATCTCATAATGTGAAGTTTACAATGTCTAGAAGTTTAACTCTAAAAAAACTTCCAATGTCTAGAAGTTTAGTCGACATATCACCAACAACTAGTTATCTCAAACATGGAACACATATTTCAACTACAGGAATGTTTGTTATACACCTTTTTCAACTACAGATCAAGTTTAGAAAAAAATTAAATATTGGTAGCATAAGAAGGATTGTAGAGCAACTGGCTAGAAATGGCGACAAATTTTTTTATATCCAACACTTATTGTCAAAAGACAAAATGTACCATTGATGAATGCTTCAATCTAATGACAGTTCAACTCTAACATTCCACGGCTAAACTTCTGGGAAAAATAAATCAAGATACAAAAAGGAAACCTTCATTCTCCTTTTGAATATACCATCGTTAAGCAGCAGCTCCTACACAAGCAGTTACTGGAGTAGCACTATTTTGTTTTGCAGCACTATATTTCTTGGTGATGAACCTGGCAGTTCAGAAAACAGAATGTTATCCAAGGAATACAATAATATATGATAGAAGCTTAATCAGATTCAGAATAAAACACTGCCTTGCCACAAAACTGAAGGGCAGGAATACTTCCATAAAGGATTAAGGATGGAACGGGTATCACACTGAACGAAACTGAAACAAGCACCTTGGTCATAGGAGCTAAGTTGCTAAATTACCTGAAAAAATCCCTCCATAACAGCTCGTACATCAGCCAGTTCAGCCCAGTGCCACTACCACCATCCTTCTTGCCAGAGGCAGCAGAAATCGTTCTGCAGCACAACAACCAATGTAGCGTTAATCAGTGATATTGGTCTCACAGGCATTAGTATCAGGATAGGAAATAAACTATTGATCAGACATTACCTTGAAGTGGACTTTTTCAATTCATCAAACATGGAACGGGGTGAGAGACATCCCATAGCTAACCAAGGCGATATTTTGCAAGAAAAGTTTGCACCATATATGCTGTCAGTTGTGCCATCCTTGTTTTCCTTACTGGGTTGGGCCTGACATTCTGCTGCAAATTTTCTAAGTCTCTGCAGTGCTTCATTCTCTCCTCCCACAAGGGAAGCATTAGCAGCTGGTTTTCCATTCTAAATGGTTGGCAAATGCAAATGTTTAAGTATACCAAGATAAATAAATGTTCATGTTTACTGGTTCGCAAAGTAACTGAAACAAATCAACTTTGTTTGACTAGTTTGTCTTGTAAAACAACTTACAGCTCCAAAGTTACAATAATGTTTACTGGTTCGCAAAGTAACTGAAACAAATCAACTTTGTTTGACTAGTTTGTGATGTTAAACAACTTACAGTTCCAATGTTTAAATACAGTATGACAATTACAAAATTCAAGTCTGAAAAATACAGTATGACAACTGCAAAATTCAAGTCTCTGCAGTGCTTCATTTTCTCCTCCCACAAGGGAATCACAAGTCATTCTAAAATGATGGGCAAATGCAAATGTTTATGTATACCAAGATAAAGAAATGTTCATGTTTGCTATAGTTTGCAAAGTAACTGAAACAAATCAACTTTGTTTGACTAGTTTGTGATGTAAAACAACTTACAGTTCCAAAGTTACAATACAGTATGGCAATTATAATATTCAAGTCGGTGAAAAATCAGGCAACAGCTCTCAAGTGATTATGCACTGTGCTACAGGCAATACTAAAAAAGCAACCTCCAAACGTGGCTAAAAGATGTTCTTTCTAGATTACATATTCGTGAGCTAGCAAATAAAAGTCGCTTGGTCTATTCTATAAGCACTATAGATGGTGTGTTGTGTCCTAGTTGGTGACGACCTAATAAGAAGTACATTAATACATTGATCAACAAAATGTCTCAGCTATGAGCTGGATATTCAGTACACACACCTATAGAAGGACACTACACATAGAGCAAGGGTCATCTAAATTACTGATGTTCAAATGCCAGATACTAAACACACTTAAACATGGGGTTTTATCTTACAAATGTTCAGAATACATATACAAGAGCTACATTGGATTAAACCATCAAATATCTGACTTGAATCACTTCTATTCCATATAAAAATGAAATCTTGATCGTCTCTATCACTTAAAATGAAGTGACTAAGAAACAAAAAGCTACTCGAAACTAAAGAACTACTAGTAGCTCAGATTCATACTAGTTGGGTTCAACCATATGAATCATCCTTATTATCGGTTACACTACATTTGTACCGGTTTCATTCCAACACTCGCAAATATGTCATTTCAGTAAAATTAGAATTTCTCTAACACCAAAGGTAAAACTACTTTCATCCAATACTCAATAAACCTACATTCTATATGATATTTGAGAAATCCAAATCAAACAAAGTAATACCTGACCCATGGTGCCACTAGGATTGAGCCCCAAATCAACCAAAGAAGGAATCTCCCCAGGTTCCACATCACCTCTAGCAGGCAATCCCCTCAATTGATCCAATGCCTCAATTGTCTTCCTTACCTCCAATCCCTGCACTTTTTCCCTAAACCCTCCGTAATTTGTGGGCATTTGCTCCAACTTAAAAGGCAAATCATCAACATGATACAATGTACTACCCCAGAAATACTTCACCTCCAAACCCTCATCCTTCATTACAGCATCAATCTTATCTTCCCCTTTAACCTCATCATGTGAAACCTCCCTATGAGCATACACAGCTTCAGCTCCTACAGCTTTAGCTAATTCCACCAACACAGTCTCCGGCTTCCCAATTCTAACAACAAGGTCAGACCCTCTTGCCTGTAGATTCTTCCTAAGGTCAGCAACAGATTCAATCAAAAAACTAGCCCTATACGGCCCAGTTTTATCAAACCCAGATGAGGATTTCCCATAATCTCTCGGGTCAAAACAGTAAACAGCCAAAACAGACATGGACTCATTATGAGCCGCGTTAAGACACTCATTATCATGAACACGAAGATCGTTACGGAACCAAACAATCGACGCTCGTCGAAGCCCAGCAGCATTAGAAGGCTCAGAAGGACGAAGAGGGTTAAGAGTTAGAGTGTTTTGAAGAGGGTTAGCAGAAATGGTGGACTTGAAATTGGATTTTGTAGGTGGAAGAGAAGAAGCTGAAAGTGAGAGATTTGAAAGAGATGAAACTTGAGTTGGGATTTTGACTTTGTTGGGTTTGTTGAAAAGGGTTGAGATTTTAGGGGGATTAAGGAAATGGGTTGGAAGGATTGTGGATAAAGCAAGAGAAATTGAAGCTATCGGTAAAATGGGTAGGTGTTGTTGTTCTTCTTCTTGAGGTTTTTGGGTTTCTGGGTTATCGGAAAATTGATTCCTGGGATCCATTTCCGATGAGTTTTCCGGTGAGAAATGTACAGAGGAAGAAGAAGATGACGATGGAGATAAGCTACGGCTTAATGCCCTCCAAAGAATTTGTTGGGTTTGTTAAAGCTGGTGAGGTATTTGCTGTGTATCAATATGATGTTTATTTTGTCTAAGTTTGTCTATTTGTTGTGTTAGGTGTGTTGGTCTTTTAAGAGGTTGGTAGAGTTTGAATTTCAATTTATCAAAATTCATTCCGTTTTAATTTGTTTGTCTTATTATTTTTTTATCATATTTAAAATGATAAGATTAAAGTCATGTTAATACATTTTACCTATGTTTAGTTTAATACTCCCTCCTTTCCTTTTTTTAGTTGTCACGGTTTTCTTTTTTAGAATCAAACAATAAGACCTTTAACTAATATTTTTTCATCGTATGCAAAAAATTGCAATTTAATCGTAACAATAAGAGTAATAATTTTGATATTGAAATTCACTAGTTCACTAATTTGAATCGTTAGTAGATTCGCCAGGATAAAGCTCATCCTATTGAAAAGTTCATTTTTAATCTTAAACTTGAAACTTTTGATTAATGTAAGAAGAATTCCGACCACCTAATCACACTGCCCCGCATGAGTGGAATAGTGAGTATAACACTTTTGGATGGTTGTTATGTATTGTTCGATAGTGTATCGTATTGTATTGTCTTGTGTTGTAGCGTATCGAACTGCATTGTTTTAATGAATATAATGTTTGGACATATTATATCGTTCTCCGTCGTTACATAATATCACAGATCTATGATTTGAATGGTAAACCTACAAGAAAAGTAGGTCATGGGGTAGTTCTACTACGAAAAAGTAGGGTAAAAGATGAAATATAATTATTAAATAATACTTAGTAAATAAAGACAAAATGAGAAGAAAATATTAAGGTAACGACACAATCACACCAAATTGATCGTTACATAAAAATAAGTCTTTTCGTCGTTACCTAACGATAGATTTTAACGGATACAATAAAATTTAAGTAACAATCAAAATGAACATTATATTTAAACTAATCATTCAAATTACAATACAGTACAACATGTAACGACCATCCAAACAAGGTGCAGGGCTGCAATTTAATACAGTTTGGTTAGCTTTGTTAAATTTTCCCACCTAATTTTGTGTACATATTGGATTGGGGAGCCTGCCAGAGCCAGGGGTAGGTAAGAGGCCATGGGTTGAAAATTGTATTCTCTTGTCGTTGGATAATAAAACGTTTTTAAAATCTAAACCAAATGTAAAATACACTATTTTGGGAGTTTGACTTCAAAATCAAACCCCACAGGCCACAAGTAGGTATGGAGTCGCGTTTGTTAGAAGGAACACTTTACTCCTAATGTGGGACCTCCCGACGCAAATTCAAATTTAGTCAAGCTCCAATGTGAGTACCGAACACTGGATGAAAAATCAAAAGAAAAAGGAATGAGTGTTGATTCTGAGTTTGCTGAGGGACCTTTACTAGATTCTTGTGAAAATATTAAGGTTGAATAGAAATTAATCAATGTCGTATACCCCTCTTGAATTTCCAACGAACAACATGATCTTGATCCATCATTCGACTTATATAATCTGAGGTTGAAAACCTTGATACCACGTGATCGATTATAAGAACACACAAATCATCACATAACCAACTCCAAAACAGTAGTCATTGAAAACCACTCAAGTTGGCAAAACCAAAAAGACATGAAATGTAAGATGGCACCAGCTGAAATTGCAAGGAAAGGTAGCAGATGCTCTTACTGCTTACATCAATCGTTTAAATAGTCAATCAACTATACGTCAATTCTAAACTTGTCGACTTACAAAGGCATGTAACAGCACACGCGCACACAGGAAAAAGAAGGAAAAAACTAGCAGACAAAGCAATGCTTACAGCAAAATTACATTGGGTGGCTTTAAGAAGAAGAAATTGTCACTGCAGAACAGATACGGATGGGCGAGGGTTGACAACATTGAGCACCCCTCTTGCAGTTGCCTGTTGATGAATTTAAGAAGTAATATAAATAACTTAAGCAAATGAAATATGAAGTTTTCCATGCAATTCCAGAAGAGATTTACCTCAAAGAAGGAATTAAAATTGAGTCTCAAAAGAAATTGTCTAAGGAACGGGGCTCTCTGGCTACCAGCAAGCCTGCTACTTCGGAGTATAGTGTATAGGGAGTTTGATTTTTTGTTGAACTCCTGAGAAGTCATAAAAAAAAACACGAGGTATTGCAGCAGGAACCAGTCCACAATAGATAGAAGAAATAATTCAAAACAATGATCAACGACCATAGAGGAAAAAAAGATCAAACTCAAGTACCCAAGTACTAAAAGATTTCATCATCAGCAAGTACTAAGTTCTTCAACGAACAAAAGCCACTGATAATCTAGTGCAGGGGACTAATTCTTCTGTCATGATATAATTTTGATGATGAGTAAAAGTAGGTGCCACCACATCTTTGTCAGCACTCATTAGTCAGATAAGTTGGGGATTAATCAAAGTGTTAGAAGCTAGATAATGACACAGGCGACTAAGACATTGATCAAGACATCAACCAAAAGATGCTCTGGCTTGATTGGCTTATATTTAAGAGTGTATTTAGATGAAGAATGTCAGAGGTAGTGAACAAAGGGCAAAGTGTTTTGACCAATTTGTGTATGGAAAGTTCTTGCTTCTTCGTCATGAATTTGAATGGACCAGCCATCAATTGTTATCTAAACATGTTTTTCTTGGCTATCATTAGAAAATGAAACCACCAGAAGCATAAATCAACTCAATAGTACCTCAGCTATGTGCCCCAGTTCACTAGTAGTTCTATTGCTTTCGTCATTTTCGATCTTCCAACAGAACTGCAAGCACAGTTTCATTATTCCATCCAGAATTCTTGAGACAGAACCGATGTCCAAGAAAGATTGTGAAATTAGCGCAGCCAAGTATCTGAAAAACAGTCAATGCCCATCAACTTTTATATCAAACAACACACAACAATCACAAGAAATGAGTAGCAACTATATAGTAATCTTGTTTCTGTTAAAACTAAGGGTTACTGAAAAAACTACTAGAAGTTCAATAAGATGAGAACTTAAAGTGCAAAAGGCAAAGTGTATGAACTCGGGAAGACAAATTCGTGATACACTTCTAACTTATTAGGCAGAAAAAATTTGCTTATGTTTGTTACTTTAGTGTGAAAAGGCTACGACAGTGGTTATGCAACAGTCGTCACATTGCAAAAAGTAGTTCAAAACAGATAGAACCTATATCTGAGATAGAATGTCCCAGAGATGAAAGAGTAAACAAGAAGTCTACAACTTAGATTAATAGACTTTTTTATAACAGTAGTGTCCAGGTCAGCTTGCGTGCATCTCGACTAATTCTACTGGATACCTGCCACCCTCCCACCAACAATAGGTACCGGGTAACTCTGTCCACCAAGGCTGGGATAGATAGAAAGAAAACACCTAGCGTTTTTGTCCATACTGGGATATTAATGTGAGACCTTATGGTTCTCAACCCAATTCATTGTCCAGTAGGCCATACCCTTGGGTGCAGATTCATAATGCTTGTCAACGTTCCAGTAGCTCCAATTCTACAATATGATATCAATGTAGGTTCATGTTTCAACAACTAATTACAGTGATAATCTTTGACAATATATACCTAAAGGGAAGACAAAAATATAAGAAGCATAAGGCAAAGTGTATGATCTTGGGAAGAACATTCGATAGATCACACAAATTTTAAATTCCGAAAAGCACTAATAGCAGCAGTTGCAATCACTATTCAATAGTTACTGACAGCATAATACACATTGAAATGTTCAATTACTTACTCTTGATGAAAGCCCACAAGTTCCGTGAAATCCTGAGAATTCTGAATATGAGATTGCAAAACGTTCCACTGAGATTCTATCACATCCACCTGGGAAATCAAACTTGTTAACTAGATTTTTGCATAGTCATTATCGTGGAAGACAATGAAGAAACAAGACTTTCAAGGTTGTCTAACAGAGAACCTTCTGTGAATGTTTCGTCAACTACTGATTAAGAAATAGGATCACAACATTAGTGGTGATGGACTATGACATTTCTTTCATACGCATTAGTGAAGTTTTTTCAGATGATGTTGAAGAATGTTAAATTGTGACATTTACATCATATGTAGGAACTAACAACCTCAGACATGCTTTTGCAAGCTATAAGGTATCAAAATTATTCACTATAAGACAGCCCATGTGAAAGTACAGAGTTCCAATATTCAACTCTATGCAGGTCCATGAAAATAAGCCCAGTTGTGCGCTTCAAAAGTTTATTTTCTGCTGAAGAACATGAAAGAAGCTAACTGCCTGATTAGTTTACTATATCATAGCTCATATATTCATGTGATCATGGAAATTTCAAAGTGCCTTTGAGCATTAAATCTATTACACATAACAAGCATTAGATTGAAGAAAGTTGGACCGTCTATTAAGCAATGATAACTGACAGAATGCTCACAGATATCTTACAGGAAATTACCTGAATATAGAATTGAAGATTTCTAATCAAGAAGGCCATGTGCTCTCTAACATGCCACATTGGTCTAAGGCGTTGCCTTCGATGCTGGGGCACTGATGACTTTCTAGAGTCATTTCGAAGTTTAGCAAAGTCAATATGATCTTGATGCATAGCAAAAGCCCATGATTTTTCCAACTCCATTTGTGTCCTTTTAAGACGGAGCAGATACTGGAATATCCTTTGATACCTAAACCAAAATAGCAATTAATAACAAAGAGGAGTTGCTAAAGGTTTTGGCCGACAACAATGTCAAGTATATCATTCCTGTTCATATCCTCATTTTATTCTGGTGGATTGTTACTAACGAATATATTCTGAAAGTCAGCGAAGACATTATGCCACCAGAAAAACCATATACCCAAGAAAATATTTTCCAAATAAGAGGAAAAAGATTTCTTCTTCTATGTTCACTATTTGGAATTGAAAAGAAAATATATAAATCTTACTTGGATAGAACTTCCGGCGTAACAAACAGCTGCAATGGCCAATCAATAGAATATTCAAGGGAAATGCCATCCCATCCATCAAGGGACACCTCCAAAGAAGCATCTGGGTGACCCACTGAGTCTCCATCTTTATTCACTTTTACCTTGGGCAGATCAACTGG